AAGCTGAAAGCGTGGGCCAGGCTGGGGGAAGCTGGGCCCCCCCCGTGCGGGCAGCGGCTCGAGCCGTCTGTCAGGGCTTCCCGTCTGCCTTCTTTCACCTCTTACTGGAATTTTTTGTAAAGTCTTTTCAATTCCTCTCAGACCAGATTTTTTTTTATTGTGCCTCAAGGCTCCTGTAAGAGGGAAACCTCCGATGGCATCGTGCTCCCCAGCGGCTTTCCCACGGCCTCTGTAGCCCTCGGGGCACCGCACACCCTCCGTCCTCAGGGCTGCGCGGGAAGGGGAAGGGCCGCCAGGACAGCCCGCGGAAAGGTGGCGGGATTTTCCCTGCGGCATGGCAAAGCTGCCATATTTTAAAGCTGTTTTACCACCCTGCCTGGTGTCTTTGGGTGCGACTGCAGCACTCCCTCCAGGAAGCCTCGCTCCCCGGGCGCAGCTCACCAACAGCGAGCGTGGTTTTAAACACCGCAGCAGATTTGCAGTCTGGATTAACTTCCCAGCTCTCCAAGAGCAAGTTTTCCGCTGTCACTAGCAAAAAAGAAATCAAACTTCCCTGCAGTGCAGGTTGGTTGCTGCTGGAAAGAAGCGGGAGGAGAGCAGGAGGCCAAGCCCCGCGGGGCGGCTCGGGTCCCTCCTGGCTGCAGCTCGCGCTCCGGCTTTCCGCAAACACCCACCTCAGCCGCAGACGGGTGCAATGAAGACACAAGCAGCAACTTTCACACACCAGGAAATGCCAGTTTTACAGTCTGTCAGAAAACGGCTATGACACAGTAATCAGATTCATTTTATTACAAAACTTGCCATAAAATTCCTTGGAATTCACAATCTGAACTTTGATAGCTGCAATATTTTACTAGTACATAATAACACAGTCTCACATATTTACATTATAATCCTCTATTTAACAAAAATAGCCGTGTTGTACTACTGAATAATGCTTCCAAATATTAGCCTTAACAGTTCAGTACTTTCCCCAGTGGAGTCACTGTCCATGCTCTTCAGCATTTACAGTATTTAACAAAGCAAGAAGGAAAAAAAAAAAAGTGTGTGCCTCATGATTGCAGGCGAATCCCTTTAACATGGTAGGTCTCTGACTCCCACCTTTTTCAAGAGAGATAAAGTGCATCGGAGGGGAAGATGTATACATTATAAAGTATCAGCAAAGAGTTGAAGTATATTTGCAATACTGTACAGAAAATAATGCTAGAAAAAAGGCTCGCTTCACAAACTGCTACTGTACTGTTTTGGCAGAAAATTCACAGGTAGCAGGAAAAAAACAAGCTACCTAAAAAACCAGGACCGTTGATGCACATGCCGCTGTGTGATTGATTTAGCTAGGTGTTTCACAAATCAAAGTGCAGTCGGCTGAACAAAGGAACTTTTTTTTTTTAAAACGTGGCGATGAAGGGCAGTTTCCACAGTCAAAATAACAAAACACGGTTTCAGCGCCAGCAAAAGAACTTCCACCAAAAAAAAAAAACCCGCTCTGATCCTGGCGGATCTGCAGCAAAACAAGCGACAACCCTCTTCCCCCCTTCTAGCTTTCGAGGCATATCAGGGCTCAGATATGTATATCATATATATATATATATATCAGCCCTGTATATCAGCCCTGACTGATATACAAAATAAAATGCATATGGTAGTTGTTTTGCTTGGTTTTTTCCCTTCCCTTTTTAAAATTGGCATTTGCTGGTACGGCTCTGCAGCGTGTGAGAAAAGACGTTGCTGGGAAAAACTTTGGAGCCATCACTGGAAACCAGAGTACTTCCGCTCTACTCACAGACTGCACGCAAACCAGATGCCACAATTTTTTTGGTTTGCTTACAAACTTCTTCAAATAAAAATAATTCTCTTCTGAAAATGGATGGAATGCATATTTTGACAAGTACAAAAATTATTTAAAATGTTTACTAAATACAAGGAACATCTTGCTATAAAAATAACGGACCCTCCCACCCACTGTCCCCCCCCTTTACATTTCTGATTATAAAATGGTACAGTCTTTTCAGGTTCCTAACATGAAACAAGAAGTAAGGATGCTAGTATGTACACATACAAAACATTTAGGTACTTGACATCTGTAATAACTGCATACATTCAGAGCAAAGGTGTTTATATCTTTATATTTTTTTTAACACTACACAGGACTAAAGAATGAGGAAATAAACCAAAAAAGGGAAAACACTATTTTTTCCTTTTTTATTTTCTTCTTTCTTTTTTTGGCATTCACTCCAGTAAGAAACAACTTCCACCAATTCACAATTCAAGTAGTTTGGAGAGACAAGATTAACTTCAGATGGAATATTCATCGTTGGCTTTTCACTCACAATGCACAACATAGTCATCCTTCTTTTTTATTTCTCTCTTTGAAATATAGCTCATGCTCAGAACTTTTCTTTTCTTTTTTTTTTTCCTTTCTTTAATAAGTGCCAAAAAAGAGAAAGTGATGTATCGTTTTCCTGGCAGATTGCAAGCTGTGCAGCAGAGGGCACTCGTCTCCCTCGCTCTCCAGGCCCAGCCTGCAGCTGCCATCTGGTACACAAACAAATCCCAGCCTAAAAAGTCCATCTGGCGTTCTTCTTTCCGCGGCAAGAGTATCAATTAGTTCAGGTAACAGCTTGTTAAAATAAAAGAAGTACTTGTGTTGCATCAATTGTCCCTACTTAAAAAGTGCACTAAAACAGCAGTGCCACCCTCATCTTGCCCTCTCCTCTAAAATATTTCATTATATTGTTTTTCATCGCTGCGTTAACCAAGGCAATTCATTTCTGTCAGACCAGTTGCCCAATACACGCTCGAACATTTTGCATCTATAAAAGAAGTGAGGTGATGCTCAGTGTTGCTTAATGAAGGAGCGATCCATCTTGAGCTATTAGGCAGCGGTCCCAATTAGCACTGGTTACGGAGCTGTCAGGTTCCCCCTCAACCTGCCTGAGACCTGAGCCTATCTTTTACTAAGCCTTTAAGCTGACCTGTATTGCAGGCCAGAGACGTCCATGGGCCTAATGTTAGTTTATGTCGCGGCCCTTTTGCACTACCGGGATGACGTGAAGAACCTGCTGCCTGAAAATCCAGCCCTGCCTGCACTGTCAGCGCATTCCTCTCGCTGGGGCTACGCAAAACCGGCATACGGCTATGGGGAGAGACCGCCTCCTTCCCTCCCCTGCTGCGCCGGAGCGGTCCACCTTGTTTCAAGAGACACCGGCAGCACCAGATGCAGGCGAGGGCGGCACAGCCTGACTTGTATCTGAGTTCCTTTCCCTGCACCAAAGGCTGCCACTCGAGTGAGCCTTTGGGAGAGGGGCCGGGAAGGAACAGGCTGGATTTTTCCCATTTTAGTCCTCCAAAAGGGATGCGTCACAACAGCAAATCAAGCCTTCCCTCTTCTGTTTAGACAGTCAGCTTGTCCTGGCCCGTATTCCTAGCAGATTGGTGATTTTGGCACCTACAAAACCAAAAAGTGGTAAAAAAAAAAAATCTCCATTACCGCTAATGAAATTTAGAAAATGACTGTTGGTTTTCTTGGTTTGCATAAACTGTAACGTCTTGTTCTTAGCTTATTTCAAACTATAAGCTTAGTCATGAGCTTTTGTGTGGACAGTGACCAGGAAAGAACAAGCCACCTATAAACAAAATCTGGGAGAGACCCAGCTGCACAAGCTGCAATGCATTTTCCTTTGTTATGCATAACCTACATTGTCATTTCAGTACAGACCAATTGTCACAACAAGGACAAGGAAAAGAAGGTAGATTCACGGGTTTGAACAAGATCACAAAATGCATATTCTTCATGAAAGATTAAATTTGGGGCTGGATCCATCTCTGGTACTTGGGTTCATTTTGTTAACAAAACAATTATGTACCACAAACTAGTCCTGCAATAAGAGACAAAGGACTGATCTTGCAACTACCTCCTGCGGACCTGATCCAGAGGTCATTAAACTAAAGCAGTGAGATTCTAGGGACCTCTTTTCACGTGTGATTTCAATCTTCTTTTTTTTTAATCGCTTCTATAGAGCCTTTTTCTTTAATGCCACAATCTCTCACATACAAAAACAGCCTAAAAATGATGGTTGCTTCTGTTTTCACTATAATAGTTTCCATACGCATATCAATACACTTACATACACATATATGGAAATTCGATTGTATAGAAAGCTTAAAGGACAAGTTGTAGTGTTATGATTGTCCAGATCAAATCTGTGATGCTTTAAAATAAGCTGTAAAAAAACCCCAGCATGTGCCAGATCTGTGTCCCCGTCAGAACGGGTGAGCGATGAGGCCCGGATGCACAGCCAGCACCTTGCACGCGGTGTGCCTGCATATCCACATGCACCCAGTAAGTTATCTGTGAGTGCAAAATTATGCCCCTGTAACTGTTTTGTATGTCCTATTGAACAGAACAGACCTTTCAGAAGCCAGCTTAATGAAACCCATGAAAACCAAAGGAAATCAGAGCACAGGCTCTGTTTGTCCAAGTTTCATCCTGTAACTCAGCCAGAGAGCAGACCAGCTTCACGAAGCCAAGTATTTCTCCCACATGCTAGTTTGCGCATACTTGCTAATGGAAAATAAGAGAAAAGATCTTCAGATGAAAGGAACAGGACCATCTTGGAGAGAAATAAGATCAGCTTAGCGACAAGAATGCTTTTCTTAAAGAGCCGCGCTGCCTCCAGCCTGGGGCAGGGCCACGAGGTGACACCAGTCACCGAGAAGTGACCCGCGCAGAGCACTGGCAGTCACAGCGCGAGCCTGCAGGATTATTCACATGAGGGCACCAGAGGATTTTGGCTTTGCCTGGCTGCGGCCAGCGGGCTGCTTCCTGCTCTGAATAGTTGGTGCTGTACCTCGGGTATCTGAAGCCCTCATATCCACGGAGGAGATTTAATGCCAGACCCCAGGCTCAGCAGGCAGCTGTAGCGAGGAACCACAGAGCGCTCAAGAAGGGACTAACCTTGCCCAGACCTGCAGATGAGGAGGTTTAATTTTACCCCCATGAGGAGCTGCAGTGGAGAGGCTTGCACAGGCAACATCACGCAGGGGTGCACAGATCTGCAGAACTAAGGCTTTCATGTGTGTTACAAACATACCTCTGGGGTCTTAATATTTATGAAGCACTTCAAATTCCCAAGGCATTTCACAGGTTTTATATACAAAAATACATTGTCAACCAGGTCCTGCTTCAGGAAGGCATTTCCATTTGACGCAAGGGCTTAAATACACTCATATAAGACCTCTTGAAAACAACGTGATTTCAGTACAAGTCCAAAATTAGATATAAGTGCTTTTCTGAACAAGGGCGGATTTAAACATTTACCTAAGTGCTTTCTTAAGTTTGGGCTTCCGTGATACGTTACCTGGCCTTGCACTGGTTACCGTTTAACAATGCTCAGACCTATAGAATAACTGAGGAAAGAAATGGAAAAATGTCTGTTCCACAGGTAGAATTTGGAAAATAAGAGCTGAAAGAAGCCTGAGCCAGGTTTGCTAGGACAACTCTTGACAAGACCACAGTATGGTAATATGTAAAATTAGCCCCCATAGCTGAGCACTCTTCTTCTGTCGCTAGCCGGCAGCAGATGCCTCGGGAGCACGCGCAGCATGATCCTCCTCTGCAAATGCTTCCCTAGCTCCTACCAACAAGGGCAGGGTCTCAGTTACATATCTGCTGTGATGCACATTTGAGCACAGCTCCCTGTAATGCTATTACTGGGCAAATGACCCAATTCAGAACCAGCTGCAAGTTTCACCTCCTGCCTCAGCTTGCATTTTTACAGCCTCTCACACAAGTGTGGACTTTGCTTGCTGTGCTGTGCTGCAGTGACTCCATTATGGCAACAGATAATCGGTCAATCTGCCCACTGGGATTAATTTCATTAAGTTTTTAAAATAAAATGGAGATTTTTCAACAGCTCCTCTGGAACGGAAACAGTACTTCCTAAGGCCAGAGTTTTGTTTGATCGCTGATCTGCCATGGACCGATGCTAAAGGACTGCAGATAGCTCAGACATCCCGTTACTGATGCTCCTGCGACATGTAACGCCCAGGCCTCAGCAAAACTGGAAGGTGTTAGAGAAGAAGTAAGTTCTCTGTAGTACCAGGGGGTTACTTTCCACAGGGAGACCTGGCTGCATATAATCAGTTTCTCGCTTTGCCCTGCGTTATCATCTGAGGTGAATTTCATTCCTGTGTGAAAGGCCAGTATTAGGCGTATGCACCACTTAAATCCCATTTCAGCATTATTTCCAGGGCTTAAGTGGAGCTCACGTGGTACCTTGTGCAAACTCTCTGCGTAGGGGTGAATTTCACCATCAGTTCCCCTGACGCTATGGGCGTTTCACGTAGCAACAGGGAATAGAGAGGACACTAAAAAATATGAAAAATATGATTATAAACCCACAATTATTGGCAAGAGTGAACAAGGGCAGGCACACAGTCTGGGACTATCTCTAACTTCCTTTTTAAACCAAATAGATCTCTAACGGTCTACATCTCATCATTAATTAAAAAGAGATGTCCTTTTGAAAAGTTTATAAAAATGTAGTGGCACGTTTCTGAATCATGGTTTTGAAGTAGTATTAGCTTGTGTTCCTTTGCCTCAAACTTACCCTGCAGTTTATGGACTGGGAACATTAAAAAACTGAGCTATAAAATTAACTGAGCTCTAACTGGACCAAAAAGCATGGAGACTAATTTTTCCTTCTTCCTATAATTAAAAAGAAGCTACTAACAATTTTAGAGATAGTAGTAAACACATTTGTTCCTGAATAAGATTGAACAGGCCCAATTTTGTCTGGGAGTTAGTTTCCACAGCTAATGCGTAAACACAAGGAAATTAAATGGAGCACAAACCCTCATATTGGCATTTTGAGATGCTGCTGTGACACAATTAAGTGAAAATATTTGACCTCTCTGTGAAATTTTGATGCAAGCTGAATTGTTCAATCTCCTGACCTACTCAGGAGGCTGTAACGTGATTTCAACCATCTGACTTGCCAACAGAAACCGTTTACTCTTGTGTAACAGTAAGCTAAAAGTCCTTCTTCACAGCTAAATGTTTTGACTGAAAAATGAAATTGTATACTAAAAACATGACAAAATAAGCTTTTCTCTCAAAAACGTCATTCAGGATGGACTAAATAATAATTACAGGTCATTGTTATTTAGATGTTTTGGTTTATGTTACTTCTGTTTGTTTCCAAATTTCCTCCCCAAAATTTTTTGCTGTACATAGTTCTATATAAATTGCACGTATTCTGCTATGCTTGTGATAACATTAACAGGGACGCTGAAGGCAAGGAAACACCTGGATTCTTGTGTTTGATAACGCACAGGCAAAACTGCAGTTAAAAAATTAGAAATGAAACATATCAAGCAAAAAAATAAAACAAGAAGTAAACATTTCATCCAGCTGCCTCTTGCTTCTTTAGCAATTTTTGACACTGCTATTAGCATCTCTAGACCCTTTCTCAGAATATTTCTGCCATCCTCATAATGTGCAGCTGTTAACAAGCACCCTCTGGAACCCTCTCAGACACTCCTTTGGCCTACTGGTCAGATTTTGGTCTGTAAAATTAAGAAAATACACAGTGTTATACGAGATCTTCTTTTCCAGCTACTGAGTTGTGACTTGAAGGAAGGCCATTAACGTATTGACAACTGCTAATAGCCTAAAAAACAGCAAAGGATTCCTAGGACAAGTTAACGCTTCTCTTTCTCTCCCTCATATGGTACCAAACTTGTTTTGAATAGAGCTCTACTTAAAAGCCAACATAATGCAGTTTTAAATAAAAATTCAGCAATCTCTGTTAATTCAGAGCTCTCCTAAAAATACAAACTCTCAAAATACATGATTTCCAAGGCCCCATTTAACAAAAGCAGGATTCATATTAACACAGGGTGCTGAAGCACTATCCTTCTGAAGCCACGTATACGTCATGCAGAAATGTCAAGGCAATAATAAATCCTGGAGTCAGATCATGAAGTGACCAGTGGACGGGAACTGAAATTTCTGGATTGAACTCTTGAAAAAGTTGGGGTCAGTCAACAAAAATATAGTGTCCGTCCATAACAAACTATAAACAAACAAACAAACATACATAGGTCTTAAAAAAAACCAACAAAAACCCGATTGAACAAGTGTAGAAAACACTCAAGCTGTCATTTCAGTTGCGTATTTATGAGCCACTGAAGAATTGCATGAATGCTCTCAAGCACATGGGTAAACGGGAAGCTTTCATCTTCCATGTGAACCAAACGAACGTGTAGATGATGAAACTGCAACCAGGCAGACACAACTGTTGCTATTGCTTTTCGTGACCGTCTCAGAATGGAGTGTGCTGGAGTGACAGTGCTCTGGAGGTGTGTGCATGACTGGTCCAAATCCTACAAAGCTGACTCGGTCCCTCCCTGTGACCCTCCCCTGTAGTTTAGTGTCGATTTCTGTTTGTTTTTCAAGACTTCACCTCTTCGCAGTCTTGATCAGTGGAAAGCTCCACGTCAGACAGTCCAACCTCCATTGCCATAATCAATGAAATATCTGAATCACTGCTGACTGCTGGCTCCTGTTCATCTGTGAGGGTAGAAAATACAGGAAAAGGGCATTATGTTCATGTCTTTCTGTCAGTGTATTACCGTTTTTTAATTGTGCAGACGGGACCTAAAGGCAGATCCAGGTTTCTCCACCGCTGAGGTTGTGTTTAGATTCTGAGCTTTGCTCTTGTTCAACATCTGTCTAAACCATTTCAAAAACATCACAAAGTTTACCTCATCAGTAGTGAGAAACAAGAAAAGGAGCTGGGATGAGCAGCACTTTCATCTCCTCATCCTCCCACGGCTCTCATTCCAGGCCCTTCATCTCCACAACTCTCCTCCCACCCCAAGCACTTCCCGCACAGTCCCCTTCTGCATCCTCTCCATACAGCCACTCTGCTTTCCCTTCCCTCATCTGTCCCACAGCCTGGAGGGAAGAAACCTGGTACACTACTGTCTCTCCCAAAAGGGAGGAGGAAGGTTAAGGACAAAGTCTTGGGCATGTGGGACAGCAGGCCATCAGAAAAACATTTATAGCAGGAAAAAATGTGCCCCAAACCTCATTGGGTGAGAATATCTCTATTACTGGAGGCCCTTAAGGGCAGGTTAGGCAAATTTCTGGAAGGAATAACATGGGTATCATTAGTTCTGCTTCAGGACTAGACTATTTGCCTTCTCAGGTCCACTTCAGACCTGTTTTCTATTCACCCTTTGCTTCGATTTTCAGAGACCTTGTAGGTTCCTGATCCAGGACCAAGGAATCTGCCTTAATCCAAAGTGACTGCGAATACATTAAGAGTCAGATTATTAATGTTCACCCAACTGCAAATCCCAATAAAACTACAAGTGCAAGAGAAATAACTTATTTTCGGTTTGATCTTGCAGCCCTTACTACATATTTAGCAGTGGGCAAAGCCAACAGATTATGTAAAGGCCTAAAAGCTAATTTTATTTCAAGAACAATCCAGAGAAGCAGAGTGCACTGTCTCTCTGGGGAGATTTTCAAAGGCACAAAAATCAAAGAGGCGGCCGAGTCCCAGGGACAGTTTAGGACTTGAGAGAAAATTTGATGGCTCATATAGTCAAGTGGTTTAATTAGAATGATGATATTTATGTTAGGACAATACAATGTATTTAAATCTGTGGCAGTTTTTCCTTTATTTTTCAGACACGAGAAGCAGAGCTTGATTGATGCTGAAATGTCTAAAAGTTGAATACCTATGAAATAATAAATAAGAAACCAGGAAATAATAACTCCTCACAGTTTAATTATTCACTTGAAGCTAAATGAGCACAATTAGTCTCCTCTCAAGAGCTACATGGCTTTTCAATTGGTTTTACACAAAAAGCATGTATTTACTTGTACTGTGATTAGATGTCATGTGCTGGAGGGAAAACTTCAGTGGACTCTGTATTATTCATACTGAAAGAGCAAACATGTTCCTTTAAAACCTTACCTGATTTTCACCCTAGATTATTTTTGTACTTTTTTGACTGCAAGATAAATAATTAATACACACGGCCTCTTTATATCTGTATAATATTTTCCTATCAATATCACAGGTAGTCAAAAGTTTCAAGGCATTGCTTCTGGCTAGAAAAGTTTCTCCTGGAGGTGAAGGAAGTACTTACCAACCGACTGATATACAATGCAGACTACAGTGGGCTTCAGTGACATTGGACTGTTAGGTGAATTGTCAGATCCAAGAGTGCTAAAGCGAACACATGCATCACAGAGACCCAAAACACCAGATTTAGGGTATGAGCTCCCTGAGCCAGAAAGACGTAGTTCCAGTCTACCGGATTATTAATCAGCCCCCTGTAACTACTACAATTTTTAAAAACGACGACAATGGTGATTTAAATGTTGACCTAAGAGCAAGTGTATATTAACATTATGGAGTTCCCAGGGCTTAGCCATGTTAAATAGCTGCTTGGAGCACTCTGGAGAGAAAGTTGATTTCACTCTGAACCGGATGTGCAGGAAAGAGCAACTGGCTGAATTGTGTGAGTTGGCCAGAATTACGCTGCACAGGCAGGCTGAGCTGCCAATACCAAATGTCACAGTGTCAAAGGAGAAGTGTTACGGTGCTGAAATGTTACTTCAAGAATTATTGTTTCTTTCAGAGCTGCACAGCAGAAAAAGATCTCAACTGAGTTCAAAAGGGACAGATAGAACAGAAGTAGATCTGCAGCTCACCGACCAGCTTTCTAAGCCTTTTACGTACAGAGGCACCTGAAATCTTTCCAACTTAGCAAACTTCAGTTTTACATTTAAAAGCTGTATATAATTACAGGAATTCTTGGATCTTAGTCTTTCCCAACTGCAGGTTTTACAGTTTGTCTTTTTTGGGACTGAAGTGCAGGTCAGTAAGAACAATGGACAAAGGATCCTAAAAATGCCCATCCTGGCATTGCTTCTCTAGCACTGCAAAAGTGCCTAGCAACATGAATACTGCATTTTCTGTGCTTGCTAACCGTGCAGCAGTTTAAAATCCTAAAATGTCAGCCTGCTATTTCAGCAGACTGGGGAGAAAAACTCGGCTACCACCACAGCTTCAGCAGAGTCATCACTGGTGTTCCTCTGTAAGACACAGACAACACAGGAAATTAATGCATCCCTCAGCATGCTCTTGTAAACACAAGTCCTACAACTGTCTGCAACATACACAGGATGAAGACCCCAGGAGGCTGCAGAAGTTACACCAGACATGGATCTATTTTTGATAACTCTAGGTGCAGAACTGGCTTTAAGGTCTACTAACTGTCTCACTCTGGCTCCCCCACAAGACACAGACTTTCTACACTTTTTTCTTTTCTTTTCTTTTTTTATTTTTCTTTTCTTTTTTTTTTGCCAGGTGTACAATAACCTGAGCCAGCACAGTTAATGAAATTTGTAAAAAGTAAGCAAACCTCAGCTAAAGCGCAAGCGCCAGGAGCTTACAGCTAAAGTGCAAGTGCCAGGAGCTTAGCCCACATGTTGCATCCCTGGTTTTTTGATCCTATTTTTGATTACAAGGCTTATAAAAATCACAGGACTTCTACAGAACATACCTGATTCACTATTAAGAACTTTTAGGGCGTTTTTTTCAAGTTTTGTGAGATTTGGTGTTTTTCTTAAAGCCCTGAAGTCAGGTGGAGATCTCAACTTTCAGTGAAGATCTCAGCTTTCACAGAAAAAAAAAAGCTTAAGAAGCAAAAAGAAAATAAAGATAATTTTTCTTAAAATCCCTTAATTTTTTGAACAGCTTTCTTATGGAATAAAGGACTTTTGATTTTGGATGTTTGAGACTGACAATTCTGTCTGATAACATGCATTATAATATATCCACTGCAAGTTGCAGTGTATCATGCCCCAGGCATGCTTTTTAACGAAGCAAAATGCACTTCCTAAGCTGCTTTTCAGGCTGAGTGCTAGTGCCTACAGCAGGCAACTGTAGACCTCATTGCCACAGTCCTCTCACGTCAGCAAGAGAAACACTATCCACTATATCTGCTGCCTACTTCCAGACAGACCTTTTCTCCCCACTTTTATTCTCTGACACACATGCGCTTGAGAAAGGCGCAAAAAACCAAAGCCTTTCTCTAGCTAATGTTACCTTAAACTTAACTGCACTAATGCATGGTGAATATCACCAGACATGGAACTGCCCTACGTAACAGTGATACAGTCCTTACCTGTTGCAATGTTCATTAAGCAATATTCTTATTTGAGTATAATTGCAATTAAACAAGAATGAAAACAGTTAATCGTTCTGGTGCTTTAAAAACAGTAAGACTGCACACTAGTACTGGTTATCTAGCACTACTGATAGTCCTACTACTTTGAATATGTGTATAGCTGTCATACACTAATAAATGTTCCAAAATAAAAAAGTTAAGACACACGGGTTTCTAAGAATTTGATACTGTTGGCAAGAGTCTGGGGGGGACCTAAGCATCCTGCGGCAAGGGAAAAGTGCATTTACAAAAACATTCATCTCCCATGTGTAGGTAAACACATGGACATGGACACAAATCTGGCTACAGTTGCAGTGACCCAATCCAGGACAAGGATCAAGCTCATATAACTGCAGTGGGTTTTGCACTCCCTGGGGCCTAGTTCCGGGTCACTGGCATATCCCTTTCAAGGGGGCCATGCTGCACACGTTACTGCGACGCCCTGGACACCCGCAGCACAGCATTACTCCCCTCATGCTGCTCCTGCTTGCCCCGAGGGCTGAGGCAGCCCCGGCTGCCCAAGCCCCAGGCACTGGAAAAGCTGCAGAAGCTGCTGATTGAGCTAATGGAGCCACAGTGAATCTGCACCCAGCAGATGAACAGAAAAATAAGAATACTGTAAATCTGCATACAGCAAAAGCTTTTCAGCATTGAATGGAAATAAGGTTTGCCTACAATGGCAGACTTCTTTCTGGACCTTCAGATAGCTCTCTGCTATTACACCTATCTGTAAGCAGAGAAGTATTGATTATTACATGTCAAATGAAAGCTGTCACCAAGTGTGTAATTCATCTACTGAAAGTGTAACAAAAGCCAGCAATCTCCTGCTCTTGTGGATTAACAACATGGGCCAGAGCAGTAAACAAGGCAGTTGGGAGTCAGCCTCCATTCCCTCTTTCTTATCAGTGGTCTGCGAGCTAATTCAGCATTATAAGGAATCGAGCTCTGCACGGCACACCGTTAACTGTTGCACAGAGCTGTGCAAGTGCTAATGATTTTCGTCATCTTATGATAGTCATGTGAATCAAGCAGTAAGAAAAAGCTGTTACAGTGCTACTGACTTCAGTGTAATCTATTTGACTAGCTATACAAGGCTGAGCATGTAGCATAAGAAACAGCTCATGTTTTGTTCTCTGATAATTCAGTCTCCAATTCTTGACGGTTAGATGCCCGACTTTGAGGAGAAACGTACAAGTATTGATTTCTTCATCTAATGAAATATTTAAAAAATTATTAGTTATTATACCATCCAGGTCAGATCCTTAGCTGGCAGATGCTGTACAGCAGATAAATGCGACTCTGTCTAAAACCTGATTTTGA